AAAGGCCCCAAATGTTCCACAAATATCCTTAATTGCAGCTTCAATATCAGCGCCCTCTATTATATCCAATCCAAGACGTACTTGACGTTTAATTGCATGGGTAATCTAAATATTGATACTCATTATATAAGTCAATCACATTTCTTATTTATTTTTGTTAGTACCTGTGCATGATGGCTATCAATAGTTGTTTTTGCTTCTTCCGCTTTCAAGAATATCCATTTTTTTACATTTATTTGGTACCATTCCAACCAATTTCCTAAAATCATCATTAGGTTAGCATTGTGGTAGTGAGGACCATTATCTAAAATAATTGTGATCCACTTCGGCTTATTTTCTAGTGATTCAATTACAGCATAAAGTGATGAAGCTGTAAACCATGAATCTTGGCGTGCATCCATTGACCAATGATCGTAAGCATGAACATCAAGCTCTTGATATCCTGACTTTTTTGTGTACATGAGAATTGTGTGTAATGTCCAACCTTTTTTTCCAAAGAATTCTGTTTTTGTTTCTCTAGCACTTTTTGAAAGTATTTTCATTTTATAATCTACTACTAATACAGTGCCTTTCTCATCCAAATCCAATAAGTTAGCATTAAATTGAGCATTCAAGTAAACTTTACGAGCTTGATAGGCAAGATAATATAATAAATGGTTTTGGTATTCATCAAGATTTTCATGTAAATTTATAGAAAGATGATTTTTAAGATGTCTAAAAAAGGTAAATAATTCAGCACATTCTTGAGATGCATGTATGTGTTGTTCTTTACAAATTATAAATGCCTATAGTAAACAATAACTAATACAAGGGTTATACTCTGTTATTCCTTTGTTATCAATAATCAGATTTTTTTCATAATCTCGCTTTAAAAATCGTTGTAATCTTTCAAACTCATCAAGAAATTGTTTCTAAAAGCAATAAAATATATGTTTAGGCAAATTATCTTTAAAAACAAGAGCTCTATTAGCTAAGTACCTTTTTTATACTATCCATAAATTTATTTTCAATAAGCTTTCTAATATCATCAAATATCTCATATCCATACCGACTACAAGTTGAACAAAGTCCACCTAGATCTTCACGGTATATATATTCATTTCCTTGTAATTTTATCATAAAGGTTATACGATGAATTCCATTAGGAAATTTGGCTTAAAATTTTTCCCAAAGTGCTTGTTTAGTATCACGAAGGTATTTGACTGGTGCACCAATTTTACTATCTGTTTTGTATGAGCTCATAATTACATGCGTCTTGTCATTAATAAATTTCTTAAATTCTTGCCATTTTTTACTAGGCAACCTTTCTCGTGTAAAAGAAGGTTTTTTCATTGGAGAACAACCAGGTTAATTAAGATGGCAGTGAATACGTACTTTTGATATCAAATCATTTGAAACCTAATAAAAAATAATTTAGCAAAATATTTGAGAATCAAAAAATCAACTTTATTAGTACATACCGATAATTGCTTCTGAAGATCTTCATATTTGAAATCATTCGCTATTATGGATAATATTCTTTGTTTTCCGTCATTTCCATTTTTATTGATTGTTAGACTTTTTTGAAAGCAATTCCAAAATGTATTAGATGCATCATAAAAGTTTATTGGTTGTGACATTAAAAAGCCAAGTTCGTATAGCTGTTTCAATGCATTTTTTTCAATATTAGAATTCAATGATCTCGTCCAAAGTTCATACTGTAATAAATTATATAATTAGAAAATTTTTTTTAAAAAAAATAAATTATTATTTTCTTTTTACCTTTGAATCCTGTTTTGAAAATAGTGTTATATCATGACATCCTATATTGCAAAGCATTATTCTCCATGCATTTAGTTCACGTTCACTGAATTTATAATCTATATGATATAATTGTTTTAGATTACTATGTAATTCAATTATTGTTCACTGTTCCCACCACAATCTTAAAAGCTTGCGCCAATCAACATTACTAATAGTTTTCCGCTTGAAATGGTAAGAAAAAACTTTTTCCATAAGTACATCATTATTCCAATCACTCAACGAACAAGAAGGAATTTTTATAGTTTGAATCAATCGTTGTATTATAGTATTATCAATTCCAAATAGCGTTCTTCCAGTAAATATCTTTAATTTGGCAATTTTTGTTTCTTTTTCACCAAAAATACTTTTCCACACAAGATCAGGCGTGCTTTCACAATATATTTTTTTAACTTTGGTTTTATATATTATAGTTATGTTACATGCATCATCATTGAATTCTTGAAGAATACACAATGTTGCTTTACCAGTTGAAATAAAAAACTCGATTTAAATCCAACTCCAGCATATCCCCATTGATCATTTTCAGACTTTGCAATTCCAAACACAAAAACACATATCAGCCCAAGATTTATAAAATATGAACAAAATAAAACTCCTTCCAATAATTTTTCATAAATAACTGGCTTGTTAAACCCCATTATCATAGGACCTGAAAATCTTGTTTTAGTACGAAACATCTGTTGATAAACTGTAGATATTGCCTTAGTACTAGAATTACTTGGCTCAATAGTATAAAAAGATTCACAAGTGCAAAGGTATCCTGATTGTTCAGACTGTTCTTTATTATCCTTCACAACTGTTAAAATAAAATCATGTCTATTTAAAAAGGCTATTACTTTCATATACAAACGAATAGGAACCAGAAATTCTATTTCTTGGTTGCAAACTATCTACCATTTGTGCGAAAAAGGTCCAAAGTGTAATTCTGAATCAATTGTTCCTACTGAAACTAAGAAAACATCATAATTTTTTCCTTTTATCATGTTTAGGTTGTAGTAATGAGTAACGTGAAAGAGTTTACATAATTGTATTGGATAACGCGAAAGAGATTCCAACGTTTTTCGTTTGTTATATAAAATGATATATGTCTTTATCCCCGATCGACATTAATTAAAATTGATAATTTTCTCCGATTATTACACGGATCACGAATTAAGAGTTGGTTAAATTCGATAATTTAATTATAGTTAATTTTAATGAAATTTTAATATAATTAGTATTGTTTATTTGCTTTAATAAATTTAATAAAAGAAATAATAATTTTGGAGTTATATTTATTTACTTAGGATGGGTTAACTATAGATCTCTATCTAGATCAGCATATATTTTTATTCATCTATTTGACGAAAAAGAAAATTTTCAGATATATTTTACATTAATAAATACCAAATAATTGAAGAAAAAATTAGCGTATAAGTTAACAATTACTTACCTTTTTCCTTTTGTAGGTACCAGATCATTCTACAAGATAAGTTTATGTTTTTTTAAAAAAATTTAAAAAAAAAATTTAAAAAAAAAATTTAATTAAAAAATTATTTTATTAGAACTTACCTCATCTAAAGATTCTACGGTTAGAGGTTCTGGATCTGTCTACAAGTTAATATTAGTATTTTTTAAAAAAATAAAAAAAATTTAATTAATTTATTGCATTAGAACTTACCTCCAATCCAAAGATTCCACGGTTTAAAAGGTTCTGGAAGCCTTGGATCAATCGGATCAAAAGACGTGTCCTATAAGTAAAAGGTAAATATTAGTTTATTTTTAATTAATTAAAAAAATTAAATAATTACTTACCTCTTTCTCTTTTTGTAGGTATCAGAAACCTGGTTTGATCGGTTTGGAGATGAATCCATTCTAATTGATTTTTAAAGTTTATGGATTAGCAATTCATACAAATTTTTGAAAGAAAAGGTTTACTTTTTTAAAATGAAGTGTTTTAAAGGATTTTCTCATTTTTTAACAAGTAAAAAAAATAAAATAAAAAATGATTTTAAATGACAACAAATAATCTCAAATGACATCATTTTTATTATTAAATAATTATATCGTATTTCCTGAAAAATTATGATTTTAAAATAGCCAATCAAAATTGACTGCTAAAACTACTTATTAATTTGCCTCTGTAATTCCAAAACTATTAACATGTTTTGGGTTATGGTTAAAATGTTATCTCATCTCTGAAACTACCGAAATTAATTTCGGAGTTCTGGAGTTTTAGTAGGGATTTATAGTTTCGGCTGAACGTGCAATTATTTTTTTGCCCTTTGGGTTAGATCAGATATCTGACCCGATCTGCCAAAATATTTGACCAACAGATCAGATCAAATCAAGTATATATATATATTAGATAGCTTTTATCCAACCTGAAAAAAATATGATGGGTCAGGTCAAGTCAATTATCCGACCTAACCTGACTCGTTTAGAGCTTTAAATTTGCCTTCAGAATCACACTATTCTAAAGTAACTCTAATTCATCAATAATTGGTGCTAAATAATGATTTATTTTGTGTAAACTCACTTCATTTGGGCTGGGCATAATTCCAAGAATTAAAAAATTTTCATACTTGTATCAAATGTCTCTTGGAAGATTACAAATTGTGGCATATAATACTCCAGTATTATGGATTGTTCCATCAAATGGTTGAAACCAATCCAAATTCAACATTAAGCCTAGATGTGAATCAGCTACATCAGGTCTAAAAATTTCAGTGAAATATCTGAACCCTTTTCTTTAAATATCTTCTAAACTTGTCCATCATATATGTCAGTCAATATATTACTGAAACTTGTTTTATTGGCCCAATGATGTAGATAATGTTTGAATCCTTGTTGAAAAAATATAACATTGAGTTGTTCTCGAATGCTGGCAAATAGATGAATTAATTTTGGTTGAAAAAATTTGAATTATTCATTTTACGAAATAATAGTGTATTACAAGGCTGTAACCTGCGAATTGATGAATTCAGAAATTCAACGTGATTGCATTTCATAATCGATAAAGTATCATTCTATCAAAAGTTTACCACTTCATCTCTGTTATAAAATTTATGACATTTCGTACAAGATACGAAACTATGAAATCGGTTTTTGAGACTAAGCGATTTCTTTGCTAAATAAAGAGTACTTGGAAATCTGTTAAACTTATTATCACTAATTTTAGTTAAAACTAATTTCATAATTTTATAAGAGACTCAATTTCAGTTTCTGATATGTTGAACCTAATTCAAAAGTTTATTAACTATAATAAAATCCATGTAAATTGATCATTAATCGTTACTTCCTCTTCTTCATCTTGATATAGTTTATATTTCAGCAGAAAATAATCTTCAAAAGTTTCAGAAACAGGTAAATCATCAGAAATACTTTCGTCTTTACTCATAAGAGATTCAATATGTCGTCTTTATTATGTTCACTATTCTCGCTTAAAGAAGACTCAGTATATTACTCGTCCTCAGAGTCACTCAAATCGCCAGTAACTTGTGAATGACTTTTATATCTTCTTGTATTCCTTCGAGATAAATTCGGTAATTTCAGATAATAATCAGTCATTTGTATCAAAATTTTAAAGAATACTTTAATTATCACATTAAATCGAAACTTAAAACAATTATCGCATTATAATCAATATTTAAAGAATTAATCGCATTAAGTCAAAAGTTAAATGAATTACATGCAATGTATTATACTATTAAAATATACTCTAATTAACTAAAAGCTTATAAAAGATTCATTTCTGCCAAACTATTTTTAATCAAACTCTTCAATTTTTTCTCACAAACAACATTTCAAATCTCTTTCGACAAAAAATTTCTTACTTTCTCACAAACAATATTTCATTTTTGCCAAAAAATAATATTTCATTTTACTTTCGCATATATCATTTTCACTAACAATATTTTGTTTCTCTTTCGCATACATCATTTTCTCGTATTTCTTTTACATACATTATTTCTTCCATTCTCAATTTCTCACTAATATTTCGTCACAAATATGACTAGAAATATGAGTCGAAAAATGGCTACATTAATATGTCATCAATCACTACATCGCCAAGAAGCGACGTGTCAACAAGAAACTCAGGGAGTGACAGAAACTCCTAATAGCCAAGAAATGGCAGATATTTCACGTCAGCAGGTTCTGATAACAACTTCAACACCTTCGAGTAGCAAGAAACTTGTCGACAAGTTCTGATAACAACACCTCTTAGTAGCCAAGAAACTCAATATTGATAAATTTTGGCACTAAATATAAGTAGTCAAGAAACACTACGTCAGCAGGTTCTGACATCTTGAAGTCAACAGAAAATATCAAAATTGTTATATTAGCAGGATCCAGCAAATGAAAGACCATTCAAATTAATAGTGTCATTAAGTATTTCTAAAGAAACTCAATATCAATATCAATCTCTAACTCGACTAGATAGAGATTATGATATTTCGCTTAATTATAGGATTGAAGACAAACATCAACATGACCATTCTGGAAACTGATAACTGGGATCTGCAGGAATTATCAACTTCCCATCTTAAGATACCTGAAAGGTCTTCAACACGTCAGCAAATAGGTAACAAAAGACATCACATCGTAAGGAGTAGCAAAAGAAGTATAACTTCTTATAATTAATAATTCAACATTTCTCAAGATGAGGATTTTCGATATTCTTCATATCATTACACAAGATATCAAGGATTAGATCAGGATAAAAGGAGTGTAACTCCTTATCGACTAAGAATGAGAGAAGGTTCTACTGGAACAACTGATTCTTCACTAAGTGAAGATAAATGTAATTTCTTGCAAAAATTTAGCCAATATATATTTTTTAATCAATTTATTGTTAACTTTTCTATGAAAAAACATATTTACGTGAAAGTATCGATGAGTTAAGCAAGCAACTTAGCAAAGCAAATGAAGAATTAAGAGATTTAAGGACGAAATTTAACAAAGTTACTGGAGATAACGAAGTGCTTATTCGTGAAAATGAGAGTTTGCATTATGAACTCAAACGAAGCCGATAAATATTTAGAGATAAAGAATAAAGGTCATTGAAAAAAGCGAACTCAATATAGTAGTGAAGATGAAAGCAATGAAGAGGGGTATAACAACAATGAAGTGGTAAGGGTTCGTTTAAAATCTCTTTACCTTTTCTGAATTTTAATTAAAATAACTTTAATTCTAACCAATTTTTAATCTAATATAACCTACATCAATCAAATTAACTTAATTCAGCTTTTATTTTTTTTTATAATTATGAACAAAATGAGAACAATTTTAACAACACTACCGACTGATCTCGAATTGAGATATGATCTTAAGTTCAGCAGTGAAGAAAATACTGAAATATTACAAAAAGTAATATCGCGTCTTGTTGATGTGTTAAAAAGATTCAAAATGATATACAAACAAGTCAAGGAGTGGCTTAGCGTCCTTCACAGACATTAACGAGTTCGTTTATTATATAAACAACATGGTACTTTAGATTGTGATAATCGGTGTTTACACAAAAACAGTCATACTAGTAAGGTAAATATCAAAATTATTTTTTTTTAAAAAATAAGCAACTTCAATTAACATTTGATATTTTTAATATAAAAAAAGGCCCAAAGAATCAAAGGTGCTAATTCACTTTTTAATTTGGATAATAAGCAAATTTTGAAGTACGACAAGAAACAATTATTATCAATCTTGAAAGACAATCATTATTATTCCTCAAAAATTCAGAGACAGATTCAGAAGAGAAGAAAAAAATAATCAATTAACGTTTATAATCTGAGTTGGAGATTAGATGAGGTTTGATAATTTTTTAAAAAACTTATTTATAATTTTAGTCAAGTTTTTAACTAATTTCGATATTTAATTTTATTAGTTGAAGGTATTGTTGCGAGAGCTATACCGTCATGCGTTCTTGCTGCAAACTGCACAATTAACGAGAACTCAACATTTAGCAACAATTTTACAATAACGATTTGTTACCCTCAAACACTCCTGACTGGATATTTGTAGATCAAAACACTTTAGCAAGAACTGATTTTTCCTAATCTGAAACTGAAATTGAGAATTAAGATAATTACGTTAAAGAAGAAGAATAAATTCGACAAATTATAATTATAACAAAATATCTTTGATTTTTAGTTTATTGTTTATTTATGTTTGTATTATATTTTATATTTATATTTTATTTATATTTTATTTTATATTTTAAATTAATAAACCAATTATTATTAATTCGATTAAATTACGTTATTATAAAATTAATAAATCGTCTAAAATGTGAAAATTGATATTAATAAGATCGTCTAAATATCAGAAATTTTATTTTACCGATTTTTTGATTACTTATAGCTGAAACATTACTGATTTTTTATTAACTAAGTTGAATTTTATTTGTTTTATTAGTTAAACGAATTTAAGTCGATTGTATCAAACGTATCAAACTATTATCAATCATTAATGTTGAATGTTTATTTATGTGACATCTAAATTGGATAACATCGACTATAACTAAAATTGCTAATTGTTTTGACAATGATCAGCAGAAATTGGATTATATTTTAGGCAACATTTGGCACTTTAAAAAAGTGACGATGGATTATTTTGACTAGTGTATCACATCATATTTCTGCTATTATTAATAATAAAGACAATTTTATAAAATATTAATAATAAAATATATTTATATAATTAATTTAAAAAAAATTTGTAAAAATTAACATAAGTTATCATAATTTAAATATTTGATATAATTTATAAAAAATGATTGATATTGCATATATCTGGTAACTTTTGATAACCTACTGTACATTAATAAAAATGCTTACTAATATTCTTTTTTTATTTTTTTTTAAAAAGCCTGTAGCTTGGTCTTAGATAGATGGTAAGATAGATAAGAAATTATTTTTTATTTATAAGAATATTAATGAAACACAAAAATATTCTTTTTTTAGAAAAATGCCTTTGATACTTTAGCTTATTCTTGAATATGTAATAAAGATAGGTGGGAATCAATTTTTTTTTACAAGAATATTAATTAAAATACATTGATATTCTTTTTTTAATGAAATGCTTTCAGTACTTCAAATATATAATATGGTAGGAGATATATTTTTTGCAAGAACATTAATAAAACACATATTAATCTTCATTTTTTTTAGTGAAATACCTTCAGTATTTTGAATATATAATAAAATAGTTGGAAAAACTTTTTATATAGGAACGTTAGTAAATTTATTAATGTTTGTTCTTTTATTTTTTCATTAATAAAACTATTATCTTAAATAATGAATCTAACCTGCCCTTATATATATTCAAGTCAACAGTATTTTCATTACATAATAATCTTAAAAAATTATATAAAAATAATAATTTAACCTGAAACGTGAATATACATAATGCTTGATAAAAAGGTTTCAACCTTTCAAAACAAAAATAATTAAAAATTATCTAAAAATATTTTTAATTCTAAATAAATATATTAAGATTCACTTTGAAAAATCTATGTCAACCTGTGATCTGATCTGATCTAATCTAAAAAATCCAGGTCAGAAAGATAAATTTTCAGATTAACATCAAGTCAGATCAAGCTTATGACCCAACCTGATAAAATTCAGGCCAACCAATCAAATTAAACGAAATAAAATATTTAAAAAAAAATTTTTTTTTTATCTTTTTTTTTTAAAACATCTTTAATTTTATTTAATATACTTTCTTTTTATATACTAATAAAGTTGTTTGTATAACCATTTTGTAATTTATTATAATCAAAAATTTAAATTTTAAATTAGAAACATTTTTGCAATTACATTATTCAATAAATTAATTTTAATTTTTTTTATTCGTTCAATTACTTCACTTCAAAGAAATATTTAAGCATTTTGGTCAAAGAAAATCAACTTTGGTCACATAAGTAAAGTTGTTTAGTAAAATCAAAAATATGTATTTATATAAATATTATTATAATTGAATTAATAGTTGTAAAGTTATGCACATTTTTTGTAATTATATTATCTCACAAAGATTTTTATTTTTATTTTTTATTCGTACAGTGAATTCAAAGAGCAATTTAAGTATTTTGGTCAAAGGAAATCAACTTTGATCGAATATATAAAGTTGTTCAGTGGGATCGAAAATATATGCTTATAAAATATTATTATGATTGGATTAACAGTTATAAAGTTATATAAGATTTCGTAATTATATTAGTAGTTACCTGATTTGCAGATTTACTTAACTTGTAATTTTAAATCTGCAGTTAAAATAATTATATTAGTATCTTATTTTTTTGAAAAATAATCAAATGTAAAAATATGTTAATATTTTTTTATATTTTTTAAAAAAAAATTAAACAAAATTATTATTTGTTTAGTTTTTTTTTTAGATAAGTCA